TTTTTGATGACGTAACTTCGAGTTGATGTTATTGAATGTTTAGAAAAAGATAAAGCCACCAACATTTATGTATAATATTTTGCAAGTAGGTGGGACATAGGTGAAAATTAACATACCACTCTAACTTCTGGAAGCTGTACCTTCTTGACATCGGACACAAAAGTAGGTTCTACATAAGCATTGGGTTCTTCCTAAATAAAGCAAATATCGAAACATTTATATCGACGATATGATCAATCTTAGACTCAAAAAAGAGAACTTACTAAAACTGCAAGTTACTCGATCAAGAGAATTAGCATAAAAATTAAAATGAAACTTACAGCACTGCTATGAGCTGTTGCACATTCCGGAATAAAAGCAACTGCATACTGATTTTCTTTCAAGCTTGGTGACGAAACTTTCCTTTTACGAGACGATAGCTTCGATTTGCCTCCAGCTGCCTGAAATTGACGAGGTGCTGCTGTATTGCTGCTACTTATGTCTCAAAGAAGTGTATAATGATGCCGAGATAGCAAATGTCGAACATGGAGTGTTGCTGTATGAATTTGTTTGTCACAAAAAGGAAAAATACATGCATATGTTGCTGTAAATACATTTCAATGACCGTCCCATACCAAATTACGGCAAAGTCTGGAGAAAAATTACTGACCTTTGTTGATTTCCTTTTCGAAAACTTCTTGTCATTATTGCAATGATGGATCGCTATTTTGTCTCCGAAACGACGCTGTTTGGGAGTTGGAGAAGATGCAGTTTTCCGTTTAGATGGAACCATAAACTTATGTCTGAAATGAAAAAAAAAACTTTCAAATCAAACGATAACAAAGGAGGAAGTTACATAAGGGCAAATACATTAGTGATTTGAGTTGCAAAATAACAGTCGTGAGAAAAATATTTTTGTATGAGGAAATACTTCAGAACAAATAACATATTAAAGCTTCAGAAGTAAACACTGGGGACAAATCTATTTGATGAAACGCCAGTAGACAACCCAAAGATATTTCAGGTGTCAATCGTGTTAGGACAGTTCAATAGAAATCAAACCGATACCGAAACGGATTTAGGCGTGAAAAATGCGCTATGTGGTGATTACACAATAAACTTCCAAATTCACGCCTATAAAAGTAAGATTTTCTGATTCTTCATATTTCATTCTTTCCTGTCGACTTTTCCGCCTCTAACAGGTATGTCTTTTTGCTTTGCTGTTTTTTTCTAAGTTTTCTTTCAGATATTGATGAAATCACTTGTCACTATATCATCTCTTGAGGTCAGGTGAGTTTTCCCTGCGCGTGCCATCTCTCCTTACTCTTGTGTTTGCTTTTCCTATGTTTGCAACATCTCCATCATTATGCGTAGTCACGTTTTATGTAAAAATGTGATCCGTATACGACAGAAGAGGTTGATGAGCTGAAAGCTGAGAAGAGGAGGCAGAAGGTTGCATCCAGTGGAAAGACTCTATTACTTGTAATTACTGAGACGCACTCTTTACCAATACCGTCGCATTTCAAAGACATCAGCGAAGCAAACACTCGGAGATTTATTCATTACAAACTATTTTTTGTCCTATGTACAAAGAAGAAGTGAAGGTATGCCATTCGTCACTTTGTCGTAATCAGATGTGGTTATTATCATCGTGAATAAAGTTTTCACACTTTCATTCCTATCTCATTTTGATTATGCCTACTTTCTGTTTTTACAAATTTTTATGTTAGGATTCTGATATGCACGTGCAACTTTTCCATGCAGAAAGTGAAGAGGACTAAGTTGTAGAAAAACTATCTTTTCCAAGCATG